CTGTCTGTGGGCTCAGATGACCTCAGAGTCCTAGGCACTGGGTAAGAGGTCCAGTTGCATCCGTAAAAGGAACCCTGAGACACGTCTGTGTTGTAATCACATCGTTGTCCCCTGAGAATGACAACTCACTTCCTTATAACTGACAAGGTTCAGCCATGGCCTGGCTGCCCAGCTTTCCACGCAACATCAAGAGCACCTATTCCAGTGTTTGAAAAATTCATAAGGATTTCTTGAGAAAAGGCAATTTAATCTCACCATATGCAAATTCACGGTTTTGTCTTAATCTCTTCTCCACAGCTTCTGTCCGCATGAAATCCTTCTATTTCTTTGGGCTGTTAATATTTGTTGAAGCCGGGCTCGTGGTTTGAAATACTAGCTTTTTGCTAACAAATCCCAAGTGTCTATTTCCACCACCCCTAACCTCTCTTCCAAATGTTAGACTCCTAGACACGACTGTCTATTGGACATCTCCACTTGAATGTTCTAGTAGACATTTCAAACTCATCATGTCCAAGACTGGGTCCCTGACCTCCCATCCCCACCACCCCACTGCCCCACCTTCACCTAGAGCCCTCTCCATGTTGGTCAGTGGCAGCTCTGTCCTTCCTCTTGTTCAGGCCAGAACCCTAGGAGTCATCCCCAGTTCTCTTCCTTTGCAAAACCCCACATCCAGTCCTTCAGGAAATGCCCGTAGTTCTACCCTCAAAATACGTTCAGGATCAGACCAGCGGTTCCAAGTCCCATTGCTGTCACTGGAACAAACCAGCCAACTTCACCTGCATGACAGCAGCAGCCTCATCACAGGTCCTCCATGTCTCCCTTGTCTTGGCTCAGGTCACAGGCAGATCACAGCAGCCTCTACTCCAGCCATTCCACAGCACTGCGTTTTAGTCAGAGGAAAACCCAAAGTCCTCAAGAAACCAACCGGCCTTGCCTCTTCTGACCCCTGCCTCAGCCACTCTGGCCTCCTCCGTGTTGATCAAATGTGCAGGCGTGCTCCTACCTGAGGACACTGGCCTCAGCACTCTCCTCTGCCTGTGTGGCCCTTCCCCCGCGTGTCCTACCTGCCTACTCCCTGCCCACCTCCAACCTTTGTCCAAAGTTCATCTTCTCAATTCTGCAACCTGCCCCCCTTCCCCACCTTTCACTCCAATTCCCCTTTCTTTGACCTACATTTTTTCCCTGTGTTTCCATAATGACTATCTAATTTACTTTATTTCTTCTGTCTGTCTTCCTCTTCTAGAAATTAAGCTCCTCAAAAGCAGGCGTCTTTATCTCTTTCCTAGTAAGTGCATTTCAAGCACCTAGAACAGTCTAGAACAGTCCTAAGTACTGTTCTGGAGCCGTCTAAGGTTCTGCACAGTCAATAAGTACTTGTTGAATGAATGAAACCGTAGTATTTGTGTTGGGTTTTGAGTCTATGTAACAAATTTCCACACATTTAGTGGCTTAAACCAAGGCCTAGTTATTACCTCAGAGTTTCTGTAAGTCAGAAGTCCAGTCATGGCTTAGCTGGGTCCTCTGCTCAGGGTCTCAGAAGGCTGAAATCAAGGTGTCAGCTGGGGTTGCAGTCTTAGCTGAGGCCAATTCCAATACTGGTTCCAGGACTGGCTTCCAAGGTGGGCTGCTGGCAGAATTCAGGTCCGTGCAGTTGTAGGACTGAGAACTTCAGCTCCGAGAGGCTGCCTGTTGTTCCCTGCCACATGCCCTCTCACAGTTTCAGAGTTTGCCTCTTCATGGACAGCAGGAAAGCATCTTGCTGGCCTTAAATCTCTCCCTGAAGGCCTGGGTCCTTTTTAAAAGGGCTCACATGATTGGATCAGAGCCCAAGGTTGGGCTCTCGTTTGATTAACTCAAAATCAACTGATTAAGGACCTTGTGCCTGCAAAATCTCTTTACCTTTACTCCTGAAAATTGGCTTTCCATCACATTTACAAATCCCACCCATACTCAAGGGGAAGGGATTATACAAGATATGTATTTGAGGGGGTTTTCCAGGGAAACTCTGAAGCCTTCTTAGGAGTCTTCCTATAACAACATTTTAAATGATCTTAAGAACATAGCAAGCCTTACCTTTTTTGAATGTCTCATCCATTGGTTTAAAATCAAGCCTGTGTAATTACAGGAAGAGTTCACATGTCAACTTATTTTATTTTTGCCCATCTCCCTTCAATATATCATACTGAACTTCTTTGTTAAAGGAAATAATGTGTTGCACCTACACAGCATTTTTAAGAGCATTTCGATGAAAATAATATTAAAGTTCAAGGATTCATATGAAAGAAATGGAAGATAAACATGAAAGGACAATGCCATGGTTATCTGTTGGTGTCAGCTCCCTTCTACCCCTAGTCCTGCTGGGAATCCCTGAGGATTTCCAAAGGCAAGTGGGAAGATGAAGAAAATATAAGGTCCTGAAGGGACCCAAAAGCTGGATCATGACTCTTCAAATGTCTAAGGCTGCCTTACCATCAGAGAGTGTTTTGGAGCATCTGAGCCTAGCTTAGTGCCACAGCAGACCCTCAGTAAACGTTTGATAAAAAGGGGTGACTGAATGAACGAGCTTACAGAGCCCATTGACCTCTAAGATTCTTTTCAGATTCATAGCATAACAGACTTCATGTATTTTCCTATCAAAGTTATTTTTATTTAAATTTTATTGGATTTCTCAAATAGAAAATAATTTTTCCAATTGTTATCTCATGGATGTATAATTGGATTTGCTCATAGTTGTAAGGATCGTCAGTAATAAAGAATAACATGGTATCTCTAGATCTAGGCACTTGCTTCTTTAAATGTAGGCCAGGGTCAGCGTCTTGGGAATTGTATAGGAGCTTGCTAAACAGGCAGAATCTGAGACTGCTCCAGAGCTGTTTACTTAATAAGAATCTACATTTTATTTTTATTTTATTTTTTTAACATCTTTATTGGAGAATAATTGCTTTACAATGGTGTGTTAGTTTCTGCTTTATAACAAAGTGAATCAGCTATACATATA